GATACAAGTAGTGGGCCACGATTCCATCTCTGAAAAGGTTGTGGATACTGCGCTAATTTTGGCGCTCGTCACCTTTGATTCCGAGGACAAAGGCCTGTGCGGTTTCATTCAATCTCTTACGGTCCTGGTAATTTTTGGAAGTGAAGGTAGTGACACGTCGTGATATGCCACTAAATCATTTTGAAATCCTGAATCCATTGATGACTGGCTTTAAATCCCGCGATATGGATATCTTCTCCGCTGATCTTCAAAGCAAACTGCCGAAGATCTTTATCATAGATCTCCTCTCTAAATTTTGCCACGACCGCTTCCTTTACTTTTTCTTTCAGTGTGTGCGGACGTGCAATACGGTCAGCGCGAGCCTCTTCTGAATACAAAAATTTGAAATCATCTCGCAATGATTGAAATTGAGATAATTCTGATTTTTTCAGCTCTTAAGAAACATCGTTGTTCTAATTTAAAATGGTTTTCACCCAAAAACCCATGTTCTTTTTCTAGTTCCCTCAATTTTACGACGTGATATGGAGAGGTGATGAAGCGGAAACGATGCTGCATATTGGCCCAGGAGCAGTAGCCCTTTTCGGTTGCTCGATAGAATATCATTGCTTCATTTTCCTAGGGATAGTTTATGTAATTTTGGAAAAATAACTACGATGGGGTCTACACCGTTACTTCCGAAACTTGAACGTTCCCGAGTCGAACCGTTCCCGATCCTGATGAAGGTAAAATCTCATCACCGTCTCCGGACCACAATGGGTCTGCTTCACGATCTTCGAGAGCTTCATCCTCTTCAAATTTGACCTCCAAATTGTCGTACATTGCCTCTTTCAAAATTGAAGAAAAGCTTTCTATGAGCTTTCGCTCCTTCCGATTCGGTTGACGCACGACTTCGCAGATGCCGAACTCTTTCGCCAGGTAGACTATTAAGTTGTCCCGAAAGTAATGTTGTTTCACATTGGAAAATCTGTAACTTTTCGAGTTGTCCGCGGATTTGCTTCTCTCTAATTTTTTTAGAAAGAAGAAGTTTTCCTCTTTATAGCGGTACCTTGGGAGCAGGGCCCCGCACGAGGTGGGCAAACGTGGTTTTCCAAAACGAATACCC